CCAGACTGCAGGTTGAAATACACACACATACATATATATAGTGTCAATAAAATATTGGAGGATTTTTGTAGAATGTTTTGTTGTCTAGATTTACATCTAAACAACTCTGTAAAAATCAAATTTATTAAAAGCCTAGTTTCTCTTTGAATTACCATACTACTGCATTACTAAGATTTTTTAAAAATAAGAAAAAATATTTTAAAAACCCCAACCCCATATTTCTGAGATGAATGGGGATATTACAGGTTCCAAATGACACTGGCTTCTGTTCTGCCATTTGTCTAAAAGCTGTAAATAAAAGGTTTGGAAACACAAAGAATTTAAGGAAGTTTAAAAAAATTAAGTCTTTAAACTAAACAAAACATAAAACAAGTATCCACCCATCACATGCAATCAGTTTTGTTCAAAGTATTTAATACTGTGAGAAGGCTTTGAAAATCATAGTTGTCTAAAATGAAACAAATCACCTGTTTCTGATATTACACCTCTAAATGAAAATCACCTATATTTATCATGGTTCAGAACCTGTACAGTACCATAAAAGAGAACAAACATTTTTCCAAGCCAGTTAATGTCATTCCACCCTGAAGTAGGAGAAGTATTAAAATAATCACAAGTTGGAGCCTGACTCTCATGGATTTTTCTTTTCCCCTCCAGTTTCTTGAAGTTGAAAGGGTTCTGAAACAAAGTAAAATTCAGAAAAAATGCTCGCAACTGTGGTTTTTTTCCTGTATTCATAGTATGTCATTGCCAGTCTTCTAACAGTTTGTATAATGTTTCAAAGTAAATTATATATCATTGTATATTTTAGCTACCTTTGCTACAATTATGGTATGCTGTTATTACAACAAGTCGAAAGTTTATACCAGGATGCAACATATTGCTGGAGTGTTGCTCCTTTTAACCCTCAGCGCAGAAGAAACTATTATTTATGAGCCAGACAACTCAGGATGAACATAATTTCAGCTGAAGCATTTTGCAACCAATAGACTGAAAATGCAGACTATTTCAATGACTAGTATGAACTGACATATTTTTGCAGGCTACTTAAGAATTAACTGCTATGCATTTAATCTAATTTATAGGGCTGATTTAAAAATAAATAGATAAAACCACAGAAGTAAAATCCCAAAATGATGAAAAGAAAACTGGAGGGGGGGGGGAACAATCAAATATATAAACCATTTTTTTCCACAGACTGACCCAAATGCCTTTACATAAAGGTAAAAATATTAGATATGTGAATTAAGAAAACAAGCCCATCTCACATTATTTTCAAAGTCATATGAATCAAAGCAGTTTAGATTAGCAAAACAACAGAATCAGACCCATTAAGGAACAAACAGGCATGTTGCAGACTTGTCTGTTGAACAAGTAGACATGCAAGCATATAATGCCACCTGCTACTAACCCAGCCTCCCATTCATGGACAGAAAAATCAAGGTGAAAAAAAAAAAAGTAAACATTTTTTTACAATACCAGCCTTACAAAACAACTGATGTGAACTGACTGAACTACAGAGACAGAAAAAACTTTTTTCCCCAAGAATAACCCAGTTGGAAAGGTCCTCACAAGACACTAGGCAGTAAGTAAAGTGATATTTCAAAAATAACAATCTCCTTCTCCTGTAGGCTAGGAAAGTGCACTAGCCCACATGTCTAAAATTTTCAAGAATTTTCCCTGTGGCACACCCACACTATCTCCTGTTTATACATGAAGAGCACCCAATAAAATTGTTGTATAGCAAATAAAATTGCCCTCTAAGTCTAGCTGTGAATAACTCTAAGCACATGACAGAAGAAGAATCAGCACATTTTGTTTTAAACAGAAGTTGTCCTCTTTAAGGACTGCCACACAGCAATAGGTCAGAGTCTGGCCTTTCAAAATCTTTACAGCTGCTTCTCAGGTCACGAGGGCTTAAACAATACTGACAAAACTCTCAGTCACACACATGCACAGACCAGCTGGTAAAAGATCTTCAGTGGTTCTTATTTTACCATGCCATTTTTTTCCCTTTATATTTCACTGAGGTTATTATTCTACAGTACCTTCCAAATTGCCAAAGTGAAAATATGTCTTGTTTAAGGAGGAATGGTGCTGCCAAAAACCCTACATTTCTTAACTTTCTTTACCCTAAAAATATCCCTTGCCACACCACAATTTAACATCGAAGAAGTTCTAGGTGAAGGTTGGTAAGTCTTTTTTCCAAGTCATGTTTTGACTTAGCAAACCTCAACCCTGTGGTTCATGGCAACCCGTAACACCACCACCACCCCCCCCTTCCCCAGACCTGCTTGTGGCCCCAAGATTTCAGAATGATGTCTGTAAGAGCAAAGAATGCTGCCCAAAGCACAGCACTTACAACTTTTGGATTCACTCACAAGATTCTCCCTTCTCACATTCTGCTGACAACAGTACTGTGCTAGAATCCACTATGACGCCACATTACTTGTAACTAGTTCAACATTTTTTGTGCTATGACAGTACACAAAAACTCAGGTAGGGTTTTAACCACAGCTATACTTTTCCATGAAATGCAATAAACCAACTACTGTTGTGCTAATTCAAGAGATCCTAAAGCTTATAATTATGTACGTCTGTAGAAATAATTATAACTCACACCTTTTAATTCTGCTCAGCTGGTAGTGCTAATGTGTCAAAAGCAATTTAATAAAATTAAAAAAAAATAATAGAGTAACCAGTCAGTGACAAATAATACTCCCTGGCACAACATAACCAACCTCTAACCCCACGTCATCTGGTAGGCACATGACTTCATATGTCCTTTCCATTTCTGTTTTATTTCCATTACATTAATATACTACATTTCTTTGCAAAACATTGCATAATCCACACACAGTACCACTTTACATATTAGCACTTTTACTACATTCATATGCCTATTTTAAAATCTTTCAGTTACTGATTTCATGTCGGTAATTTTTCTCCCATAATCTGATTAATGTTCCCAGTAAGAACTAGTAGTTACTGTAAAAAGTACAGCTGCATGAAGCATGAGTTCACATTGTTGACTACAGTTTTAGTCTTCAAAAACTGAATTATATTAGCAGTGATGCTTATAAAACAGAGAACTTTCTCAGAAGTGCCCAAGTTCACTAAGAAACAGTGATAATCAGCAGATCAAATGCCACATGAGTAAGAGTGCACTGCAGCTGCTGTCATCTCCACACAGTGCTGCACGGGGCCACACACAAGAGGTAGAACGCACCTACCTGCATTAACATGTGAGGGTTACCTACCCAGGTGAGGCAGGCTATCAAGGGTCCCTTTATGATCAATAGACAAATTTACAAGAATCATCTTCTGGACATCTTTCTCTTCATCTTCAGAAACCCTAAACATCTAACTTTGAACTAGAAGCTTGAATTCAGCAGACCCACCAAAGAGACTCCCACTTTTAAGAGTGCTTAGAAGAAATGAGAAATAAAGAACTAGATAAAATCAGAAATAACCCACACAAGTAAAAGCAAATCCACTAATGTGAATATTAGAAAGCAATTATAAAACACTCTAAGATAATTATTCTTCCTTTAAGGGACCTTTTGACTCTGTCCTTCCTTTCCTAGTTTGTGCAAGTTATTCCCTGTGCCCCCTCCATCCTTTTTGATGGAGGAAAAAGAAACAAAAATTCCCTCCCTCCTACCCTGCCTTTTTTCTCCTCTAGCATCTATGGCAATCCCTCTGATGCATAATGTTACATCATTGCTTTTTAAACAGAATTTCCAAATTATTTTGTTAGGTGTATCTGTACCAAAATTGGTGACATATTCAGACTGAAACATGTTTCAAGTCCTGCATCAGCACTGCAGAATTCTTATTCTAATAGAACGGCATTATGAATAACTGTGTCAAACCTGTTATCATATTAGCATGCCTGTCAAGATTATTTCTTTCAAAGTGTTTCTTTTTCCTTGTTTGTTAAGACAAACTTGCTGAGGTTAGTCAAATATAAATACCCAAATTCACAAAGCAATCCTCCATAAGTATACTTAATGGAGTCTCATCAGTAGATTTTTCTGGAACTACACTCACAGATTTATTAGTTCCCACACACAGCTATTGTTTAAAAGATCTTCAAAGGGCCTGTTTACTAAAACAAGTGCCAATTGTGTTTTCAGTTGCACTCAAACTGCCTGCAATATGGGGCAACCATGCTAAGGGAGAAGAACACATTTGTCAACTGCAGTTTGAAGTACTGTAAACAAATTGATATAGAGCACCAGAAGGTTTACACCATAGTGTCAGCATTTCTTCCTCTGACTACCCACCTCTGAATAGGCAAGTAAAGCTAACAATAATAAAAAAAGAACAGTATCCTATAGCAACAATATAAAAGGTTAACATACATTATCGGTCTATCTTAGAAGTTTAACACCACTCTTCATCACTCTGGTGATGAAGCTGAGCAGCTTTCTATAAATAGGGAGAATATCCACTAGTGATCTCAGACAAAAATCTGAATTTCCTCTAATCCTAAATATATTTAAATTAAAAAAGTTTTATCGTAGATTCCTATGAGGCCAGGATTTAATCTCCTCACTTTTTTCTCATATTGAAGTCTACACTATGCTTGCACTTGAAAGCATTAACTTGGTTTCAAGAACAAGGTTTTCATTTAAATAGTTTTATAGCATCTTCTAAAAGGTAAAAGTACTTTTGAAATAATCTCAATTTGTGAAATAATCTCAGCTTCCAACAGTGTTGCACACTCATTACTGTTTCTGCAGAATGCTTGTGGGGAGGAGCAGAGAAGAGTGGTAAAGACGAGAGTTTGAACTCAGAGAGTATGATTTGTTATACTTCAGAAGGCACTATAGGAGAACAATGAAGATGAGACACACATAACAATAAGGATGAGGCACACGTAACAGTTATAAAACAAGAGTCTGTATCTGTTAGTCTTCCCTCAAAATATATGAGGATCTATATCTACCTCTAACTTTGGTGTCAAATAAACTATGGAGATAGCCAAGTATTCAACGACTGCATTTATAGAAGAAACATAGATTGTGATGGTCATTACAGTATACTCTGTCTTAATGTAAAAATGCATCCAATTTCTTTTTTATATGTTCAAAAGCATCTTTTCCCATATAGTCCATGCGCCCTTCCTCCCATTTTCTCCGTTCATCTTCTGGACTTGGTTCTTCTGGTTTGAAGTGAATAGACACCTCTGAAATTGAATGTGTGAGCTCATTCTGTGGAAAGAAGCAGAACAGTTGGAAGAACAGTCATTTTGTTGTTATCCTTTCAGTGCTGTGAAATTAAACCTTAAAATGTCAAACTTCTGCTTTTTACACTCTCAGTTAAAACACTAAAACAAACAGTATTCAAACATCCATTCTTGTTTTGATAATGTGATCTCATTTTCCCATGCTTTTACTACTTGTCAGAGCATCTTTGAACATACTAAACATTTATTTTACTTGTATTAACTCAGACCTTGTCATACTCAGCAACAACACAATGAGAATAATAAAAGTTTAGAGTAGAATATCTCCTACAATAAAGTGTAATCATGTAGCTGTGCAAATTTTTTCTTCACCAGGCTTTCATATGAACAGAAATTCCTAGAATTTTTGGTCATTTTTTTTTAATCTGATCTCCACTGAGATCAGTATTATTTAGCAGATGTGAGACACATTATCCATACAAATTAATTCAAAAGACTGACACTATTCATTATACCAATAACTAGTTGATTTTGAACGATGGTCCAAAATTGTGAATCCTGGTTCAAGATCAAGTTATCCTAAGTGCACAAATGCAAGACACATTTAATAATGATAATTTCAATCACATAAAAGAAAAACTGTGTCCATGATTGACCAATGCCAGTAAAACTGGGACATCCCCAAAATTATAACAGTAATAAAGATAAAATATAACAGGGACTAATCAAGGCAGCTACTGAAAACCTGCTTTCAGTACTACTTAAAGAGGCTCCAAGACAAACAACTCGTCTTATAAGCAAAATTGAAATCAGACAGAATGACTTTCTAGTGAGGCGCTCACAAATTCAATATAAAGATGTTTCAGAATATAATTTAATGGGCAGGAATCACTGGCTTAAACTACCTAAATGCCCTGGAATATGCATTACATCTGCCAATTCAGGGCAGATAATGCACAGGACTCACACAAGACCTGCACCTGCAGACGAGGTAAGGTAATTCAAACAGCCAACATAACCCTGCATGCTTAGGCAACTGCATCCTTCCATATGTATCCCCACCTGAGTCCCATACTGTACATGACTTTAATAATGAATAAATACTCTGAAAAGCATGCTTGCTCCCTGTATATGCAAATGTGCAACAATACTTGGTATTTAATTTTCAGGCCATAAAGACTCCTTTCTTTACCATTGGCAAGCCTTATTGACAGCTTTGGATGCCGGTAACGGCAAGACAGGCATAATCATGTTTTGAGAAATGAAGAATTTTAGCTAGGGCATAAACACCCTTGGCTGCATGGAAGCTATAGTTTCACTTACAGTTTTGTTTCTCAGTCTTAAAATATCTCACTGTAGTGCTTCACAATCATACAAAAGGCCTCATTAGGAAAATGGCTGTGCTGTGTACCTTACAAGATATAACTCCTTGACAGTCTGTCACCCTCATCAACGCTAAGTCTGGCACTGCTGTCACACTGCCCACAGAGAAACACAGTGCAAGATCACAAAGGAAAGCCTAGTAGCTTGGGCTTCATGCCTGACTCCCTAGACATTCATTTTCCATTTGCTTGAAAAAATCACTGCAGCAGGTAAAAAACCAAAACAAAACAGAACAAAAAACCCAAACAGCGTTGCTTGTATTAGTACTGGAAAGCTAAAATTAACAACATGCATTTAGTACTTGGAGGCTAGCACAGGAAAATATACATTTAAAAACAAGGAGTATAACTGACAGAAAGGGATCATGCCCTAGTATTGGAAGCAGTTAAGGAACTACATAGCTAAAAGATTCAAGAATTTATTTGCACATTGTGTCATAATTAGTTGACATTTCCCAAAGTGATGTTGGCAGCAAAAGACATGCATGCAATTCTCAACAGATGTAAAATGCAGAAAGCTACATGTACCCATTCTGAGGTTTCCTGAAACGCAGGGTGAAACACAAGTTGTTCTGAAGCTCCGTCAGGCTCAGAGAGATGGACGTTAGAATCACTTTGCTCAGCTTCACATATAGGTTGCTAAAACACAGGCACTGAGGTTTTATTAGGAGAATATTTTTTCATCCTTTCCTTATAATGAGAATTCATACAATACAAATCAATTTCAGTCTTGGGGCAGGGGAAAGCAAGGAATGGGAGGAAAAGGAATGAAACACATTATCACCAAGGACAAAATTCATCTCACCCTGCTTTAGCTATCAAAATGGCACTGAATCTAAGCTCCTACTATAATCAATCTAGGATAAGTACCTCCAGAGGGCAGATCATCTCATCCTAAAATAGGCTCAAAAGTGGCTGTCATTCTTCAGTGACTACAGAAACAGCCTGGAAAACTAGCTTGCAGTGGATACCTGCCATTCATGAGGCCAAACTTCAATGAGAAAAATCACATTTTAGGACAATAGCTTGTTCTATAACTTGTGAGCTTTTTACGTATATAGAATGAGAACAGACCAATGAATTCCAAAACAGAGGTAAAATTGATTATGCCAAAAATACTGCCCTAAATATTTGCCAGATATCAAGACATAAATGAGTAGACAGACCCCACTCAGAAGTCTCTTCCACCAAAACCAAAACAATCCCACAAGACTACTGAAGCAACAAGAAGTGGAGTGATAGTGTTTCTAAGTAAGAAGAGAATCAGCCTATTAATTTCTAATTAACGTGATCTTCTGATTAACTTTTTTAATTACTAGGATTGGTTTAAGAAATTTAAATTTGAATGACACTGCTTTAAGTGAACATTATGGGTTTTTCACCCCAAATAAACATCTTGAAATTGTGTCCCTATTTGGTTTGAGCATTTCCAATGGAGTCAGATGCATGAGGCACACGAGATAACACACCCTTTGCAAATAAATTATTCTTAAATTATAGAGCTGGAAGGTTTGAAATTTTCTTTCAGGCCCTCCACACTCAGGAAGCAAAAGAAGGAAGACTACAATTTTACTTTATGGAGTAACTATAATCTAAAGGGGTGAAGCACTGAACCTGATAAAAGCTGTCTTCATCTTACTAAAGAGTAGTTCACGAGCTACAATAGCAGATGACATTAGAACATTAATTTTATTTTCTTCCAGTTGTACCTTGCTGTAGCATGGTTTATCATACAACACATAATGACTTACACCTGCAGAAACATTGTGCTATTACATCCAACTTAATTCCTGCATAAAATAAGGGGAGTCAGTACAATAGTAACACCTGAATACAAACACCGAAATAAAAGAAGAGTGACAAAAGAACCAGGACCCCTGCAATTTTCATCAGTGGATTCTTTTAAGACACTCTTTGTTGCCCCAGTCACAGAAATTTGGGAAACAGTTTTCCAAGTCAACATTTCTGTAAAGAAAACCAATAATTTCTACAGAGGAGTGACAGAATAGATTCTGGTTTTAAATATATTAATTCACAAGAGTACTAAAATTCAATAGATTACTTTAGTAACAGGTTTTTTTTGTATTACGCTTTATTTAAGTACGTAACAATTTTCAATAAGCAATCTCTCCATAAAATTTAATGCAACCTTTTTCAACCTCCAGACACATCATGCATGTATAACTAAAGGTTAAAGAAAATAAATAGTCTTTAGACTATTTCTGCTGCTACCAAGAAAATTCAATAGCTATCATTAAATTGAAGAAGATATACTCTCCCAGATCAGAAGCATAATTAAAAATGTCATTTTAGTACATTTTACTTTGTTACTGCATATAGTAATACACAACATACTTACAGCTTTGAAAGTGAGTTCCTCAGGTGAACATGCTGTGGGATATATTTCATATGTCGGCTCTGGAAGCATAGGCATTTGCAGCGAATTGGCCACAGAAGGACTGACCTTTTTCAGTGTAATTTCAACTCCATTGAAAGTGTGCTAACAAAAACAGAACATCTCACCACTGAAATGCAATTTTGCACGAAATTAATATCTTATTTAGAACAGTTTCACTTCCTTACAGGGTCTCTTGCCATTAAAGGAATATGTTAACAAATTCAAAAAAGGTTTGCGGTCCCAGATTCAGACCACGTGACAATTTCGATTTTTGCACTCGTGAATATGCCAGCATCATCAGGAGGTAAATCTAACAGGTATCTCCCACCTTCATGTTACTGTGGCTAAAATATTTTGTTACTGTGGCTAAAATATTTTGTTACTGCACAATTTCTGAAAAATTAAAGTATGTTAAAGTATGAGATCAAAAGCTACCCATTCCTTCCTCTGCCTTCCAATTTGTCCTGAGGTTAACAAACCAAATTCCTCTCTGGGGCTTTGATGGTAATTGCATAGTCCCATGAGATCAGTTGGACAATTAGTTCAATGATGCTAATAGTCTAATATTAAAAAAAAATATTTACATACGCATAAAAGTGATCTAAATTGTCATGTCTGGATACAAAATGAAAAATCATACTTTTCCTACTCAATACATTATGCTGCTGGGCTCCAAGAAATCATCTATTTATCAACATTTTTTTTTTCTGTTCATAGAAGTCATACATTGCTGCACTCCCTTTGAAGAAAAACACAAGTGTAAAGAGCTCAGTAAATGCTTGATGACATGCAAGTACTGAATATAACATCCTAAATGGAATTAACAGTGTCTTTGCAAATCTGATTTACTTGTTACGATCCTCATAAAAGAAGTTATAATGCAGTGCTGAAAAGCTAAATTTTACTACAGTTCAAGGGCTAGTGTGATGTTCGACATCAACTTAGCTTCAAAAAGTCAAGTCTGTTTCATAGCCAGTCTATCACCTTCTCTGGCTAACTTGTATCATACTTTGTATTTAATTTGCAGAGTCTATACATGTATATTCCCACACAAACTCTTCATCAATTAAGAAGGGGGCTGAAGGAAATCTTTGGGAAGCCAATAGTACTAAAAACCCTTCCTCAACTGCTAGTTTAAATGCTTCTCGAACCAATTGCTGCTACTACTGATCAACAGATACTATGTTTTTTCATGTAATTCCTTCCCCTAGCAAACACATAATTTTCAGAATTTTTCTTGTGATTCCAGCATATTCCCAGTAACTCCTTATTAGTTACCTTCCATTCCTCAGATTCTGATTCTTCCATCTTTTGAAGTTTTTCTAACAGAGGCAATATACTGGCACTGTATATATTCCACCAGAGGGCAAGAAATGACAGCTGATGAAAAGATCCAGAGGTGGTGCCATCCTGCATAACTCTCTTTGTTTGAAGGTTGTATTTGTAGTTCCAGGGCTTTGTCGCTCCCAAGAAGTGAACAACTTTGGCATCTCTACCAAAACTGTAGAGAATAAACATACAGGTCTATACTTTTTTTTTTTTTAGCCTATATAAACTGCTAAAGAAACATGCTTACTCTCACTGGTGAGGTAATTTTGACATATTGCAACAGCAACACATTCAGTATGAGTATATATATATATATTAGTATTTTTTCAGACTTTTTAGTGTAAGGTATCTCATTTAGCATACAGAAAACAAAAGGCTGCATTGCCATTTGCTTCCAGCTGCTGATTCTAGTAGAAAAGTTCATGAATTAAACTGAAAGGCTCATGCAGTACCATTTCCAGTCCTCCTGCATACTCTGTTCACAAACAAATACATACCACTTCAAACACTGAATCAACAAAATTGCTTATTTCTGATCCCATATTAAGAATTACTAATAAATACATCATCCTTCCAGTAAGTGTTTTGTGCAACTGGAACAGTAATTCATGATACCCTAAATCCAACCTGCCTTCTGCCAGAAAAGTTTCTCTAACTGCATTGTCTGAAGTCATATAATTACTACCACAAATTGTGTTTCACAGAAGAACCTAAGAAATGGTTTTAAAAAATATAAATTAAAAAAACCCAACTGTTTCCCATAAATCTGACCATAAAAGAAGGGAATAACTTTCAAAGTGAAGCTGTCAGAACCTAATGCTATAGGTTCCGAAACAATGTATGAGACAGTGTAGCCAACTCTGAGACTCTCTCTATGTCCAGATTGCAAGACATTCATTCTGCATTTTGGGTTCTACTGCATGATTTGTACATAACACCAATTGTGACTATTGTAATTTATAATCAACAGAATATGTCATTATTATTCTTTCTTATAATACAATGTTTGGTCACAAACTACAGAGGTTTACAGTCAGTCAGAAGTGTTACTACTTACTGATTGAAAGCAGGAACGTAGGTGTATACAGCACTGCTGCTCAAGTTATAGAGGAAAGGTAAGTGTTTACCAATATCTGCTGTTGCCCAGTTGCTGAAGAAGCTATTCAATAAGCCTTGATCACCTCCTAAAGAACAGATAAAACAGAATTACCATATTTATGCACAGACTCAAATTTACATCAGAATTTCACATCCAAGGATGGGAGTGAGACTGGTGTGTTCATGGGACCAACTTGGACTTGACAATATGGCCATGTGAGCAGTTTGCAAATTAATAATACCTGATCCACTCCGATGCAATTTCAGTGTAAAGGGAGTCCTATTGTAATATATGAAGAAAGGAGTAGGAAAGGGGTTTGGTCTCCCTCAGAGCAGAAGACTGAAGATCAGCTGTATTTCTCTGTCCTAAACCAGACAGCAAAATGAAAACTTACTGAACAAGACTGAGACACAATGTCCTTTCATAGCACTTCTCAGGGAAGCACAGTCCACAGCAAGTCAATGGGTCTTAACTACAGCGTAAGAGGCAAAGGTCTGCACCTTAAATTTTTGTGGGGGACAATTTTGTAAAGCCCAGAGAACCCTGCCTTCCTCCATTCTGCCAGATAGCACGCAAGCTATGGAAAAACATCTTACTGAGAAGGAATCTAATGTCTTGCACTTCATCCCGTAGGCCTTGCCCCTTACCATCAAAGCTGCCATGTTCAGCAGCAAACTGGAGCAGTAGGTTGTAAGTTTTCAAAGAAGGTCGGAACACAAATACACCACTATTAAAGCAGTCAGGCCAGCCAGAATCAGGAGCTGCTGAAAACTCTTCTCGATCAAACAATTCATCAACATTGCAAAGCACCTTAGAGACAGTAGGAAAAAAGAAAAAATGTTTTCCTAGAACATGAGTAGCTAAATCAGTACCAATGGAGTAAACTTCTAGTTTGGCCACGTATATAGCTTGTAGAGCATAAAAGCAGTGGCAATGAAAAATATGCTAGGGGTCAGAACCTCTATTTTTAATATAATAAGGTAACATTAATTGTGGTTCTCCATGATTTCTCTGATAAATCACAAACCCTGTGAAATTATTTCATGAGCCTCAAAGACCCGCCAGAAGCTCCCTTTAAATATTATGACATACCATACCTTCATTTTAAAACTGGCCTGCCCTCCTGACCAGAATAAGTATAAATGAAAGTATATGACAGAGATCTATTTTAAACATCTGTCAGAAGCCCATTTGCACAGAGTGTGTTTATGATATCTTTTAAGGACAGTCCTGAAGCTACTCTCAAAACGGCATTTATTTCTGTGCAGACAGCAAAACTGTGAGCATTGCCAATATATATCAGCTGGAGCTCCTGCGACCTTGTAACCACCAGGAAATCTGGTCACTTCATAAGCCAGTAGGCTGCTTGACAAGGAAGCATGCCACACTCAGAGTAGCTCTTTAAGTCAGACAGAAATGTTTCCATGGCTCCCGGTCTACTCACCAAAGTGTCTGCATCCATGAAGACACATTTGCTATAATGAGTAAGAGTCCAACAGTGAAGCTTAGTAAAGGTTACACCCAGTTCTGGCCTCTGCATCAGAGCCAAATGGACTGAGTCAGCACTGTCAAGCGCATCCACCTCAACTACTTCATCAAACACACTGCGGAGGACAGACCTATCAGAGCAAGCAGTGGAGAAAAAGAAGGGAATTTAGAGAGGTTCATCAGGGTTCACTTCTGACATGAAAACAGTGACACACAGTGCAATACTTTTATGACAATAACAATGGCTATATTGATTGGTTAGCACGATAAGTCAAAAGTGAAAAGTCCTTGGAAACAGTCTGATGTAGTGACAGCTATCAGGCCATAAACCATTGCCTCTTCCACTGTGGAGCCAGCACATCTCAAAAGTGACAGGTGCTGTACAGAGGAGAAACCAATCCTTATTTTAGTTACTTAATCTCCTGTAGGAACACCAAGAGAAATTAAGGCACCTTTCATCCTGAACAATTGTCTCTGATGAATAGCATGGTACAGGATGTGGCATGCACTGTCAGCACAGTTATTTGCACCTATTACACCCACATAAATGCAGCTTCAAAACTGCACCTTTTAATATATACTTGCTCACTACTACAGATCATCTCAAATAGACTTTTAGGAAGACATATTTTTTCTATGCGTATGTTTCATGGGAATTTTATAGATGACACTGAAGTAAGTAATTTTCCTTCAAGACACAAGAAAAAAGTCTTTTAAACACAGCTTATTTATTTACATTACACTATTAACTACAAAATCCTGGATATCACACAAACACAGAAAAAGAAAAGCCTGTGCCGATTATCTAGATTTCAGATTCATTAGCTTTTGCTTGACTGTTCTTCAAGGGACAGGAGTTAACTAGGAAAGAATTAAGAGTAGGTACAGATTTTTAGAAGCATAGTTCAGTGATGTGATTTTTTAAAAATGCTATCCTTGATTAAAAAAATATATATTATAAAGGTTTTTTTCCCCCCACTGAATGGGGCTGGAAAAAATGATGGACTTAGTATCCACCCACATCACATCTATACAGAATTCCTAATTTGTTCGGACAAAACCTATACTTCAAAAAACCTGTAAAAACAGATTGCTGTACACATAATTGCACCAAAAGGGGAAAAATTATTTCTTGAGCCAGATGAATTGCAAATACTTTCACATGGCATAAAAAAACCAGGAGCTTGCACACTTCCTAAGCCATAGCGGAACTAAGAGTTTAAATAGCTATGGCATGTTATGTTGCTTTTAACACAGTCCTCCAAATAACAGGACTTGAGTTCAACAGATCTAATGAGATTTCTGTACATGCAATTCTGTAGTGCCTGTAGAATCGCAACCCAAACTGAAAAGTGATTTAAAAAAAAAAAAAAGGCAAAAATAAATTAACTTCTCATCATGATAGCCGTGCACCAATATTTTAAGAAGATTAGTCATCTGAAACTGAGCCCCTAAGGTTTTTGGAGAGTTCTGATGTCACAGATGGTTACGTACCTTGCTCTTTCTAAAGGAGAAACACTTAGGAAAGAAAAACAGTAGTGCCTTTATTTCAGCTCAAAACCAAGACCCTAAGACCTTAATTCCCAAACTTTCAGCTTATGTTCCTCGTTATGGGCTTAAGGCAACTTCCAGACACAAGTTCTACTTCTGCAAGTGATTCTTATGAGGCTTACGATCTCATCATGGATGTTATTTGTGACTCCTCTCAGAAATCACCAGCCAAGGGGGAACTTCTAGACATAATGCTGCAAAATCCACTGGAAGCCTAGTAAAATCTTTCATGCTCTTGTTTATTTTTCCACATTATCAGCCTCCAAAAATTACATTAATCCTTACCTCATCCCACTGGAAACATCTGGTGTAATTAGGACTGCCAATTTTCTAGATGTCGTATGGTTCCTCAATGACTGCCCGAGAACCAGAGCGCCTTGGCAGTACACATCATCAGTAGCAAGGGTCACAAAGGCTTGATCCGTCACTGTGAGTAAATATTCAGAAGAGTCACTTTACAACTTTAACATAAGCTCCTTTGACAGGTTCCTACAATCTCTGTCCTCCAGCTAACCAACAGGCTGCAGCTTATAACAACCTGCAGTTCCTGTGATAAGCTCTTTTCTTTCCCAAACTCCCCCAGAAGATTCAACTGAATAGAAAATCCGGCGAATGTGACTGCAGAATGTCTGTCTCTGAACTTTGTTGGTTTTTGTTTGCCTGATTTACATTATAACAGGTATGACATTTTCAAACTAGCCTTAAACAAATAATTCCCTATGTCATATTGCCTAAACATTATGTCAATCAAAAAAGCCCATCTGTAAGTATTTAGATTTTACATTTAACTAACATAGTATAATACAACCTATAAGGAAAATGTTCCTGTTTATACAGTGCCAAAAGCTAAGGAAGAAAACAGGATGTTAAGTACTAGCCAGAAATGCTTTCTTTCCATAACCTCACTGAATCAACCCAACAGGCATTATTCTTTGTTCTGTCCTTTTTGGTAGTGGAGTAGCTGGTGCTGGCTTAACAAATTCAGATAAATTGCCTCTGAGATTGGTACACCTCCCAGAAGCTAAGGATCTCTACCTCAAGTAACTCCAAGAAAATTAGGAGTGTTCCTCATTGTCAAGAAACACATGGGAAATAAAGTAAAAAAAAAAAAAAAAAAAAAAAAAAAAAAAGAAAAAAAGAAAGCTACACTCCTGCACAATAGCAGTCAATGTGTTTTGTAGAGATACCAGGCCTGTGACAGTATCACCAGGGGCTGCTTCTTCATCTCTGCTCTCTGACAGAACCACCATTATTGGGGTTGTCCTGGAGAGAGCCAGAACCTACAATTCAGCAAGGTGAACAGCATCCTCAGAAGAGAAGGAACACCTCAGCTTTCTAGGCTGCAAAATTAACCACAAGATGAGTGGGTCACACAGATGAGGGGAATTCCACTGAGCTCTACAGAGCTTCAATAAATACTTGTGTTGAACTACTTGTTTAAAACCACCATCATGTTAAGGGACAACCAATTATGTTAAATAAATTAAAACAATCAAACAATAACAACAACAAAAACACCCTGTCATACAGTTTCCAGGCTCTGTCAGAGGCACTAAGAAAGAATGTCACAGAACTAGTTGCACAGAGCCCAACAAATGACCTCATGGCTGCCTCAGCCAGAGGCTGCCAAATTGAATGAGTTCAAACCTAATACCAAGGTATGCAACAATGCCAGTGACAAGCTGTCAGGTACTAAGTATTTTCATTTTTCATGTCCTCTAAATCCAGAGCAAAGCACAGACCCACTGGTGTGCTGCCTTCTTCCCCGCTTTTTGCCCTACCTCCCACTCATCTCCAGCCAGACCTGAATTTGCATCAAGCACATACACCTTAGTGTTTGTTGACATTGCAGCAGATCCCTGCACCTCAGGAGAACCCCAGTAGTGATAAACTTTGCCAAAAAACCTGACTCATCCATCCAAACTTAAAATAGTTTGCAGATACCTCAGCTAAGCAAACTCCAATAACATTTTTAACCACAATTTCTAGAGGAAGCACATGAAAAAAGGAACTTTCAAATCTCCCTTTATCAAAACAGCTCAAGCAAGTTATGGGTGTTCCAGAAAACAATGAAAAAGGAGTTGCTTACATGGAGTGGTTTAGAAGGACAGTTGGGCAATAAACTGCTCCTACTACAGTTTTCCAAAAGGTTAAACAAATAAATATGGGCATACATAAAAAAAAAACCCAAAACACAACACTGAAGGGTACTTTAGCAATAAAACTGTTCTCAAAAGACACAAAGAGTCGGAAAAGAAAAACACTTTTGTGTTAGGCAACAGGCATCTTTAGCCAAATAAAGGTAATAAAACAACTACTGAGAGGAACGTGGGAGGTAGGTTAATAAAAAAAGCAAACTGTGAAATGAGTGGGAGTTTAAATCTTAAAATACTGCTTTAAATAACAACCACAAAACTGAAAACATAATCTTCTGCAAATTCTTTTAGCTACAGAAGCTGAATCTTTACATAAGTAATACATCTAAAAATACAGCAGCTACTCATCAAATAGTTCAGCAAGCTGGTACAGCAAATTACCACATCCTATGGATGCTTTCATGCTCTGTACTTCTCAGGCTAAAGTTGTGGTCAGAACCACAAGGAAGCCAACTGACAAACAAATACAGCTTCTAAGAAACTCTTGCTAATATCTCACACAGAAAAGAAACCAATTGTCTGTTTTGAGAATCAGATGTGGGATACATACTATGGCCTTCTTAACAGAGTGAATCCTTAGAGAGATAATTAAATAGATAATAGAATATTGACTGAAACCACACAACATTAATGTAGCATGTCCTAGCTATTTTAAAATCATACAGGGGCATCACTAATCCATTAAGGATCCATAGGGGATTTAAAATCAAAATATTTTATCACTACTTGTCCTTTCATCTAACCCCTGTTTTCAAGAAAGAAGTGTTACTCGACTTGCCTTATTTATAATGTTCTTTGGAACTCTGTCCCCATAAATAAATATTTTCTTTCTATAGCTGAAAACTAAGGATAAGATTTCAATATAAACTTGTGAAAGTAAACTGTTTACCTAAAAATTCCTATTTAACTGAAATCAATGCTGCATTAAATCTAATGTACACAGGATTTCACTCACTGACTTTAAACTGCAAAAGAAGACTTGATCTTTTAAGTTTGAAAGCCAAAGTTGTAAGTATTTGAAATTCATTGCAACTGTGGGTGTTTTTTTTTCTTTTGTGTCAAGTATAGCTTTATGCATAGCTTTCAATTCTTTGTGTTGAATGACAATAGGATTTCTCACAGAAAACACCTAGTGTGAACAGTATTAAGTTTTCAAGCAAATTGTTTTCAAGCTGTGGGACCCTGTGGCTAATACCATTGACTCTCAGTGAATTATGAGAAAAGTAAGTGTATGATTAGAATCACATTAAAACCATGTCATTTGAATTTATAAATCTGCACATTTCTCTTGTCTGGATTACCACCCAGCATGTGAAGATGCAAATTCAGAAATCATTATCACCATCAGTGACTCCTCAGTTTTAATACCTAACAATAGTTTCTCAGAACAAACCAAGGATTTTCAAGCTGACAACTTTGGTGAGTTATTTTGGAGCCCACTCTGCACCTACAGACAACAACACAGAAAAGACAGCAAAAGTAATGTGAATCACTAGAGCCAGGGTGATTTCATGTGAAACTTGTTACAGCTGTTTATCCAAGATCACCAACTTCTTATGCCACTTACTCGTAGCAGTAGTACCTCTCACAACACTGACAGAGGTAAAATTATTCAACAGGGCTGAAAACCAATTCTAGGGCAGCTAAAAGCCTTACTTAGGATCCAGACAGGGTGGTGCTCACTTTGATGTTCAAAGAAAAAAAAAGAGAGAGGGAATGAACAAAAACCAGGTACCCATGAAGAACCAGAACTGACTTAAGAAGAAGAACTGAATGAACCACATGCACCTGACAGCTTCAAGCAAGTTTAAGTAGGATGGGTTTTGGGGTTTTTTTCCTTAATCCACTAGATATAGCCTTTTAAACACATTTCAGTCTTTCTTCTGACAGACGGAAAAAGGATAAATGTGCTCTAGCTGTGGCTCCTACAGTAACAACTCAAATTTGCCAGGTTGCCCACTCCAAAATTGCAGTTGGAGACTCATATGCTACAACTTTCCTACAAGCATATTCTAATTAACACATACTTATGCATAAAATTAAGAGTAGATAAATCAATGGCTAAAAGCCTCCAACAGGCTGGTTAGGTCCCCACTACATACTGCCATTCATAGGAATGAACGTTATATCATTCCTATCTTAAATTCCTCCCTAGTACCATCTGTTGCTCTTTTGTCACCTCCCCGCTTCTACTTCAGACACAATCTGCAGGACAGGCAGGCTGCAGTCTGGACCTGTGCCTGCTGAGCCCAAATCACCTTTCTGAAATCCTGAGTGACAATGACATAACACAGCCCCAACTCACAACACGTTTTCTAACAACAATTTTGTTACTCTCCTCCCACACATAGGTCCCTTATGCATCTTCCCCCAGAAGAATGTCTCAGTGAAGACGCGTTAAGACTACTGCAAAGATAAAGAAAGCTCCAGGCCTTCTCACTTCCCTGACCTAGCACAACCATATCAGAAACACTCAGAACAGAAAGCTCTGCTCCAGCTGACAGCCACAATCTTATAAAAAAAATACTTCTTGCCTGCTTTTTAAGTAGGTAAAATGAATAATGATGTCAGACAATAACCTATGTCAGACCATCATCAGGAATTATTACGCCAGTTTTCAAAGAGGCAGTTCTTGCCATAGTGAACAAACGACAGCTGGCAATTGAAATTCCCATGGTTCCTTGGCCTGGATCCAATAGTAGTAACATTTACTTTCTTGATGAAGATGGCACAACCAACACCTTTACACAGACATTTTTATAACAGAATATAAATTGAAATTCAATGGCATGCAATATTTCCCTTGGTCTAACAAAAGTTCTGCCTAATCCAAAACCAGATTCTCTCTTATCCTTTACTAAAACAATACTGAATTTTAGTAGACAGGATCACAACTTGATAGCTTGGAAGGCTACAGAAAGAGGACTTGTTTCTCATTTGTAGCTTTTACTATGTATCTTTCAGTTAAGAACAGTTACAGTCTGCTTCAAAACCCTGCAATTTTGTTATTCAACAGACAATAAATGATCTTTATGAAAAATAATATGCTACAATACTATAATATGCAAATAAGCATAACACATAGCACCCAAAACTAGTTCCCAAATAGTAACATACCAGTTTGAAAAACATTAGTAACAATTGCTTAAGCAATCCAAAGACAGCACAGAGGACTTAATATATCAAGTTAGATGCTTCCAGTCTTTCCACTCTCCTTTCAAAAAAACCCAAAGAAAACCACAATCCTCTAATCCTTTAATTTTCAG